GAATAAAAGAATTAATAGAACCAAGATGGCTACAAGTTCCTTCATGGTCACTGGCCATGGTTGGGAAAGGGGTTTACAGATAAATGGAAACCCAGCCTATGCTTCTTTCCTTCCCCTAACTAAAGGCGATATAAGGCGGGCATAATGTGGAGAAAAGCTTTTATTACAATGCCTAGAATCTCCTAGCTAACATGACCATACAGATTTTGGGAGCCCTGTGCTCTGAATATATATTCAGATAGATAGATAGATAGATAGATAGATAGATAGATAGATAGATAGATAGATAGATAGATAGATAGATAGATAGATAGATAGATCGAATCTGCCATTTGATGATGAAAGGCTGCTTCTAAGCCCTGAAAAGCTGACGGCATCTTTAATAGTACACTTCTCTGACAACTCAAACCAAGAGTGCTGGATTTATTTGATGATGGCAGGATTCCTGTAAGAAACTCAAATATTACTAAATGTCATAGATCTCCCATTATCCCTCCTTCTGTAAAGAACTAATTCCAGTAGGTACTGACCTCAGAACCTCTCTCAATATTTGGGTGTGTGATGCGCATAGCAACACACATGAACACCACTACCTGGTATTACTGATTTTTCCCCCAAAAGGCAATGCTGCTAGAAGTGGCATTTTGGTGATGTTCTCTTAATGGCACAGCTGCTTTTGCCTAGATATTCAAGTCGGCTCTTGATTCAACTACTTAAGTATGCATAGATTTCCTTACAAAGAAGCACCCTGTCTGCTTTATTCACTAATACAAGTGCACATGCCTGGATATTTCAGTCATTTTATTAGTACAATAGCACTTCTTTACTGTGAGCTCTGTGTGTGTGCATTTTCAAGTCACCTACCAACATATGATGATCTCATGACTTTCACTGGGTTTTCTTAAGCAAAGAATACTCAGATACGGTTTTACCAGATTTTTTCTGAAATATAGTCTATAGTACCTGATATTCTTTACAGCAGTGTTTCTTAACCTGTGGGCCGTGGACCATCAGTGAGTTGCGAGGACAAAAAACTGGTCTGTGAGCCTACTTCCTCTTTATTTATTTACTTTTACTTTTATTTTATTTTAATTTCCATTCCTTTTGCACCATCTGCCACTCCTTCCCTGTCACTGACCATGGCATATGTTCTGTATCAGAAACTAGAGCTGATGTGGTCTATCCAATGCAATTTTCTGAATCAATACACCAAACCGAATCTAAAGTTGACTGAAAATTGATTCATAATCCTTTTGGTACTAATGTTGGAAAGTTGTCCTAGTCAAAGTGGTCCCTGGTCCAAGTGGTGCTTGGTCGAAATGGTCCCTGGTCAAAAAAAGTTTGGCACCCACTGCTTTACAGTCTTCCATTCAGTTACTAAACAGGGCAGATCCAGGTTCTAGAGCAGCATTTCTCAACCTGGGGGTCGGGAGGGGGGTGCCAGAGGGGGGTGCCAGAGGGGTCAGAAAACACAGTTTTTTCTGTTGGTCATGGGGGTTCTGCGTGGGAAGTTCGGCACAACTTAAATTAGTAATCTTTTGGGGATAACATTTAGGTGAAGCCCTGCAAAATGTTACAGAATTGTTTTCTCATGATGACATATTGTATCTTTACGTAAATACTTGTAAAATTTCTGCTTTCTGTCTCCTTGATGTCCTACAGTATTCTAGTGGGATGATAGCAAGGAACTACCAGAGCGAGTCATCTTTTTTACTTTGCATCTTTGTTACTTAAAAAAAAAATTACTTCACAACTCTGCTGCATTTATTTATGTATTTACCATTGCTGTGTCTAACCATTGTAAGTTGCTCTGAAAAACTTTTTACTGAGAAGAGGGGTATTTAAATCATGCCCCCCCCCCATGACTTCAAAATGGGTACTTTGAGTTTATATAAATTATATGAAATGCAGAGTAAAATAAAAATCTAAATAAGGATAAGATTCAAGAGCTTGGCTTTAAAAAAAAGGCACAGTATTTTTAGACATTTACTCCACAGCTCGTGCTTGTAGGCTGTCTTTTACCTAATAGCTATTAATGGTATAAATTTATGCTTCCTGACGGTGGAATTAGTGTAAATCTGATGACTGCACATGCTGCTTATGCATGACAGCCAAAGCTAAGCAAGCCTTGGGTTGGAAGGGTGTTAAATAATGAAGAACGAACAGATCAAAATTGTTAATTGTATAAAGATGATTTCAAAACTAGATGCTATCCATGTTGTGTACACACGGTACATAAATTGCATGTTGCCCCTTTGGCATATATAGATATGCTGTATGGTATGTGTGTCTAATTTTACTATTGAAGTGTGTTCTTTATTGTGATGAACTACCCTGGGACTTGCCTGGGAGAGGGGCAAGAGCATGATGATTCCAACATCTCCTGTGCTTCATAAGAAAATGAACATGAATCACAGAAGAGAAGTTTCCAAACTGTACAACACAATATAAGATACAATTGTTACATGGCAGCATTACTAAACCTGGGGCTCAGGACCCCTGGGGGGTCACGAGGGGGGGTCAGAGGAGTCACCAAAGACCATAAAAAACACAGTATTTTCTGTTGGTCATGGGGGTTCTGTGTGGGAAGTTTGGCCCTATTCTGTCATTGGTGGGGTTCAGAATGCTCTTTTATTGTAGGTGAACTATAAATCCCAGCAACTATGCTCCCAAATGTCAAGATCTATTTTCCCTGAACTAGTGTTCACATTTGGGCATATTGAGTATTCGTGTCAAGTTTGGTCTAGATCCATCATTGTTTGAGTCTACAGTGCTCTCTGGATGTAGGTGACCTACAACTCCAAAACTTAAGGTCAATGTCCACTAAACCCTTCCAGTATTTTCTTTCGGTCATAGGAGTTCTGTGTGCCAAGTTTGGTTCAATTCCATCTTTGGTGGAGTTCAGAATGATTTTTGATTGTAGGTTAACTATAAATCCTAGCAACTACAATTCACAAATGACAAAATCCACCACCACCACCCCACCCCCAACCCCACAAGTATTCAAATTTGGGTGTATTAGGTATTTCTGCCAAATTTGGTCGAGTGAATGAAAATACATCCTGCATATCAGATATTTACATTATGATTCACCACAACATGAGGAACTGTACATGAGGAACTGTATTAAGTGATCATGGCATTAGGAGGGTTGAGAACTACTGTTATGTCGTAAGACCGAACAGGGTACGGGGTTACAGCCTGTGCTGGACGGGGTCACACTCCCCCTAAAAACACAGGTACGCAGTCTGGGAGTTCTCCTGGATTCATCGCTGAGCCTGGAACCCCAGGTTTCAGCGGTGGTCAGGGGAGCATTCGCACAATTAAAACTTGTGCGCCAGCTGCGTCCGTACCTTGGGAGGGCTGACTTGGCCACGGTAGTACACGCTTTGGTTACATCCCGCTTAGATTACTGCAACGCTCTCTACGTGGGGTTGCCTCTGAAGACTGCCCGGAAGCTGCAGCAAGTACAACGCGTGGCAGCCAGATTACTAACGGGGGCTGGGTACAGGGAGCACACTACTCCACTGTTACTCGAACTCCACTGGCTGCCAATTAGCTTCCGAGCACAATTCAAAGTGCTGGTGTTAACCTATAAAGCCCTAAACGACTCTGGCCCTGTTTACCTCTCCGAACGTATTCTCCCCTACGAACCATCAAGACCACTAAGATCGTCTGGAGGGGCCCTGCTCTCGGTCCCACCGCCTGCACAAGCACGGCTGGTGGGGACGAGGGACAGGGCCTTCTCGATGGTGGCCCATCGACTTTGGAACTCCCTGCCATTAGAGATCAGAACTGCCCCCTCCCTCATGACGTTCAGGAAACTAACAAAGACCTGGTTGTGGAACGCGGCATTTGACAACTGATTTAATTCTTTGCCCACATGAAAGGAGGATGATGAATGGGATTGTGATGGTGTCGGACAATTTGGCTCTTTTAACTGGGATGATAATGTTTTAATGTGTATGGTGCTGATATTTTAATCGTGTAATGAAGTGGCATTGTGTTGTTATTGTATATTCTTTGTATGTTAACACATGTTGTGAACCGGTCCAAATCCCTCTTTGAAGGTGAGAGGGTCGGTATATAAAACCTCGAAATAAATAATAAATAAATAATAAATGTCTACTTGCTTCATAAAATACTTGTTGCATTAGACCCGAAAGTAACACTTGCAAAATGGACCACTTCTTATTCCACACTTTGATAATGATAAATCCCAGGGAGATAACGGATACAGAGAAATGCTCCCACTGAAAAAAGATTCTCTAGTCTCTCCCCCGCCACCCCCCAACTTCAATACAGAGCTGATTTCTACAGTCTCAGCAGTTACCACCCACTCTCTTGTTGTACTTCAGAATCTCTTCTTTAACTTGGAGAGGCATTGGAGGAAAGTGGGAGTTGGAAATAAAGGCGGCAGAAAAGAAGCAGGGAGTATTTTGAGAAATATTAGAAAGCAATTTCATTTGAACATGCAATAGACTTGATTTTTTTTTTAAAAGGAAGGTGATTACTTAGAGTGTTTCCTGATATTTTAGTTCCTGGACGATGACGTATATTTATAAACTTTCCTAACTTCTTAGGAGCCTAATGTTTCCTAACCCATTCCACCACAGACTGCTAGTGCATGATGCTCACTCTGACTGATTCTCTGTAGGATCATCCCCAGACCCTGAAAATATTGGTGCTTTGTCTGTTTTTTAAAATAAATATATCGGATGAAAACAATTCAAATGGTAAGAAATTGAAAATGTCTTCTAACCTTTTAAAATAGGTTGAAAGCATCTACAGAAGTTTTTTTTAAAAAAGCACAAATGGGTTGCTTATTGTATATTCATGTTTTTCAAAAGAATTGTATGTCTGATTTCTTTAGTCTGAGATGGTTCCTGGTGTTGGACGTGGAATCTCCTTTTTCTTTGCATTTGCAGGCCTGGGCTTTGTGTGACATGCATATGAGTCTCTGCATTCTTCTGAGGACCCTTTACTCTTCTTTTCCACAGGGACATTTGTCTCGGCTTTCACAGTGCTGTGCGGAGCCCGGACTGACCTTCCCGACAGGCACGTCTGCTGTGTGTTTTGGTTGAATATTGCAGCCGCTCTGATTCAGATCCTCACAGCGATTGTGATGGTTGGCTGGATCATGAGTATATTTTGGGGAATGGACATGGTCATTCTTGCCAGTAAGTAGGCTATACTCTTTCTTTCTTATTATTACAGGGATGCTGGGAAGTAGGTTATTGGCTACACTGAGAACACTTCCAGACAGCACAAAAATGTGGGTTATAAATGGGAGTTAAAAATCCTTGGATCTAACTGCAGGTCCACACACAGACCTGTTAGTCCCAGGATTAAGTCCCCCACTGTCCCCACAGACTTCCTTTGAATGGAGGGTGGGTGGGGGGCATCTTTTAAAAATCACTCCATTATGCACTGGACCATATGTGCAATTACACACATATACAAATATGTTAACATAAATATAAGCAGATTTGCATGTGTGCATATGAGGTTCAGCACATAACAGAGTGAATTAAAAACAAAACAAAAAACCTCCACCGGAGACAATCAAGGACTTGGCTGCCAACATAGGAAATTAATGAATACACATCTCCTAAGCCCCCTCTTTCATGAGAGCAGCAGATTCTCACCCTCAAGTTAAACGTCCTAAGCTAATTTCATTGGAAAAGATCATTTATCTACATACATACACAATGGATCTGATAGTTATCTGGTTTGGGAAATGGCTGGAGGGATTTTGACCACGATCCCCTTTCTGAAGGTATTATGCAAATAGGGCAACAGACAGGTGGCGGCCTTCAAGTTTCATTTTGATACATATATTTAGAAAAAAGTTTATACATTCTTTATAAAGAATTAATTAGTATAGGAAAGATACAAATTACACAAAAATCATTAAACTGATACATTTTATTAAAGGGTTGGAATTGATAGTATTTGCAGGGTACAGCTTTTGCTAAGCCCTTTCTGGAACCTGTAGAGTTTTGGCAAGTCATAACTCTGGATCTCTGGAAAAGATTTTTAAAAAGAACAAATCATATTATTTGCTTAATGTCTCTTGATGAACTATAAATCTTTTGAGGGGGGCATATCATTAATCGTTAACATAATTGCATTAGCCTTTGTCAGTACCCACTTACTCATCATTTTTCTAAACTAAAAAAATCCCAAACATTATTCACTTTCGTCATACTGGAAGTACTCCAATTTCCTGTTGTGGTTGATGTATTTTGAAAGCATTCCAGCTCTGCCATATCATTTCTGAAAAGCGACAATCAGAATAGTGCCCAGAGAGAAAGAGAGGGAGAGAGATTTATTTGTGTTAGTTGGATAATAAGCTGCACAGGGTTCAAGTTATTAAATGTATCCAAATTTCAGGGCTTTTAAAAAAGGTGTGTGCTGCTATCTCTTATGCTGTTGGTTGCTTATTTATCCCCTTTCCAAACAAACACTGAAAACATAAGTCACCCATGTTCTTGGAATGACTCCAGAGCTATAACTTTGTCCAGCCTCGAATCTTGTGGTGCCTTCAAGAGTAATTTATTTTTGCATGAGTCCCTTTTGATTATACTCAATATCCACAGTTGCCCTGGATTAGGCTGCATTCACAAATTTATTTCTGTTAACAGAGGTTTTATAGGCAGTGGTCCAAATGAACTTGCATCAGATTTGTTTAAAGGCATTAATTGGAAATCAATTGGAAATTTGATACCTAATGTGGATTAACCTTTTGCCACATTTTCTGTGCACTTGATTGTAATTTATTGATGGGGAATTGTGAGAACTGTAGTGCAACACATCTGAAGGACATCAGGTTGGAAAAGCAGCTCTAGATGCTATGAGGCCTAAATTTATATATTTACAATGTTAAGAATTTTTTTAAAAATCTTTTTAAAATGTGATACAGTTTAAGAAACTTGGAAACTTCTTTAACTTCTTTAACTTTAGAGGTGCTACTCTATTACTTATCTATCACTTCACTTCACTTGCTTAGTTTTCGCCTCTCAGTTACTGTTGTGCTTTGATTACTTCTGATAGTTGTGTCTTTCCTTTTCTCTTTTCATGTTTCTTTCATGTTCTCTAAATCATCAACACAGTTTCACAAGGTATGTTTTTTCTCAATTCCCTTTGCTCTTCTCTGATGAAAATCTTAACATTGCTTTTTCTAAGAAAAAATGTTTCAGCAATCTGGGACTGCATGATCTACATGTTTGCGTCAATCTGTAAATAGGATTTTGCTTTGAAATCTTGTTTCCATACTTGGTTTATGAAATGCAGATGAATTTAGTTATATTTTCTCCCTGGTGGCAATCCAAATGTATTTGGTTGTTTCTTTCTAAAAACATAGTCTGAATGCCCTTCTACACATGTATTGTAATGCAGTTCAAAGCCATCTTGAGGTCAGGGTGACCACAAAGCATATGGTGATCCCAATGTGCACTGCAACACACATCTAGCCAGAAACAGAGCAGTAAAAATGGATCAGAAATTCCAGAATAAGCCATAAAACCCATTGAAGCTGATCAGTGTATATCCTATGCAGAGCAGGAAGCTGAGATCAAAATGTAGACGCAGGTTCAGAGCAACAATTGTTCAGCAACTTAATGTTTTCTCAGGTTGGTTAATTGTTGTTGTTGCTTTAAAAATAACTTTTAGTACTGTGTGTGCTTTATTTACAAATCAGTATCATGTATAAATGGAGAGCACGTTTTGGAATCAAAATTCTGATGCTGGTATATTTCCCATAATTTTGCATATTCAATTCTAGTTGCTACCATCATGTAAAGAAAAAATATTTTCTGTTGTTGTAATACTTGTTTATCTAACAATCCCAATTTAAAAAAAGATCTGGTTTCAGTGGGATTAATAGAAGACATAATAGAAGACACCTCTATTAAAGCAGCTTCATTGATTGCTGATAAGTTTCTGGTCCCAATTCCACCCTGTCCATCTTTCAGAAAGATCTAAAAATGTGGATGTTCCACTGGGGATTAGACAGTTCCACAAATAATTTTGGGGGCCCCGTTATGACCCAAAAATCTAATCCTTGCACTTTACTACTGTTCCCTGCCAAGAGATATAGAGCCCTTCCACACAGCTCTATATCTCAGAATATCAAGTAAGGACATCCCACATTATCTGAGTATGGACTCAGATAACCCAATTCAAAGCAGATATGGTGGGAGCTCACACTGAGATCTTTTGGTTAGCAAGTTCAGCAGCTCAGTTATTATTATAAAGTTATTAAAATAGTTTCAATGTCTCTATGTATATTTGTCCAGAATTCCTTTGCTCTTGGGAAAGTGAGGTGGCTCCTTTTTTTTAATAAGAGTTAAGATCCTTTTATTGATCCATGGATAAGTTGACTAGGGTTTTTGAGGTTGATTTTTAACTAAAATTCTTGTGTGTATATATATAGAGAAGGGGGGGGGGCGGGATTCATGACTTGCTTCTAATGGTCTTACATGCATGGAACAGTAATGTGGGAAACACTACAGCCATGCTTCCATGTTTACTTGTTTAACATTTGTGATTTTATTATTCACAGATTTGGTTAAGACCCTAACTTATTGAATTGCCATTATTTTTATATTTTTATTGATATTTTAACTGTTCAATTTGTTGTTTATGATGTTTGACTGATTTATATGTTTTAGCCAAGGTGTTTAATTTATTTTAATGTTTTATTGTGTTATTGCACATGACATTGAATTTTTACCTTTGGAAGTTGCCCTGAGTCCCTTTGGGATTATTATTATTATCTCACTAGAAATGTCTAGGTCCTCCAGGTTGACTCTGTCGTCAACTCCTGGTGGAAAAAGGTAAAGACCCCTTGCAACTGTTTGTATTCAGCTTCTTTGTGCAGTATCACCAAGTGTTATTGGTTCTGAAGAAGTTGAGGAGATAGTTTTAAATGCATGGGATGAATACTGTGATTCTTAGGGTTTTTAATTCAATGAGCAGCACCCGGTACTGCACTCACCTCTCTGCATTTGCACAGTTGTGGAGTATGCATAATGCTACTTGAATTTAGAATCATAGAATCATGGAGTTGAAGAGACATCATGGGCCATCCAGTCCAACCCCCTGCCAAGAAGCAGGAAAATTGCATTCAAAGCACCCCCGACAGATGGTCATCCAGCCTCTGTTTAAAAGCCTCAAAGAAGGAGCCTCCACCACACTCCGGGGCAGAGAGTTCCGCTACTGAACAGCTCTCACAGTCAGGAAGTTCTTCCTAATGTTCAGATGGAATCTCCTTTCTTGTAGTTTGAAACCATTGCTCCGCGTCCTAGTCTCCAGGGCAGCAGAAAACAAACTTCGATCCCTCCTCTCTATGACTTACCTTCTCAATTTCACCCACCTCCCTAAAGTCTTCCAGGGTTCTGAGAGAAGACCTTGGGAATACTACTTTATGAACTAAAACTACTAGAACCCTAGGCTGGCCAAACAGGCTGTAGAATTCTGGAGGATATAATCCAAAATAAGAAGTCTGTAAATCTCTGAATCAGAGTAGTTCTCATGAGATGTTTTTCACTTGGGTACTTGGAACAAAAGGGTACATGTTCTCCTACGATGCTGTTTTGGCACCAGTAGAGCATAAAGATAACTTCCTGTTTGTTTCCTTCTTTTCTGTTTGTCTTTCTTTCTACTCAGCGGAGCGGAGATGCCGAGCAGCAGAGAATGACCTTCACTGATCACTCTGATGGCCAACTACACTTCGGCAGATGATTTTTTGGACTGGCACAACTACCCCCTTGGCATGATGGGCAAACCATTTCAAAAGCAGGAGGGAGCCACTGGTTAGACGGGCATTGAGGAGGATGGTGCCGGAGCAGACATCAGCAGAAGGGGACCTGCTAGTTAGAGATGTTGCTGTTTTCTCCACCCACGGGGTGGGGAACGCTCAGAAACATTTCACTCCTTTGTGACTTGCTGAGAAAACAGCCTTACTGTGAATAGCAAAGGAGGAGAGAAAATATTTATAGATATGTGTACAAGATGTAAACACTTCGATGGGATAACATGTTTCCCAAGAGACATTATTTGACTATTTTCTGGGTGCAGAAGAGAAGGGTTCAAATGTGGCCTTTCTTGCTCTGTGTGTTTTGTATGTGTGGTTTTTAACAGTAATCTTTGACGATTGGATTCCTGTAGCCATCCTGAGATTTTGCTTGCTGTTTTCGTATATCCTTTGTCTTTGTTAAGGTTGTTCGGGTTCAGCTCTTTCTATGTTCTTTCCCTGTCATCTCCCAGCCTTCTGAATGCTGAGAAGAATTTTTGATATGTTGCCTGCTTGCAAACAAGAAGCTGGTTCTTGCCAAGATGCATAATCACTCCATGCTTTTATGTAGACACTGGGGTGGGAATATAAGGGGAAAGTTTTAAAAGATTATAATAAGGGGGCTTTAGTTTTGTTGTATTTCATGAAGAGTGGGGAAAGGAAGACTTCCCACTGAAGCTTCTGAACAAACTGTGCTGCTAAATGTTACTGTACTTTTGGAAATGTGTATATACAACAGATTGTATTTTGTAGCCTGTATGCAGTAAAGCTGTGACCTCTTGTCTACATTCCTAGCTTATATGCCTACATGCTTAACTGCAAACACAATTAATCAATACTCCCAAGATGTGCGTACATAAAGCCAAGGGTCAAATCAAGCAAGGAGAACTCTCCTGCATCTTAACATTCATTTAATACAGTGTTTCTAAACGGGGGGGGGGGGGGTCCTGAGGGGGTGTCAGGGGGTCGCCACAGACCATCAGAAAGCACAGTATTTTCTGTTAGTAATGAGGGTTCTGTGTGGGACATTTGACCCAGTTTTATTGCTGATGGGGTTCATAATGCTCTTCAATTGTAGGTGAACTCCCAGCAACTACCACTCCCAAATGTCAAGATCTATTTTCCCAAACTCCACTAGTGTTCACAATTGGGCATTTTGAGTTTTTGTGCCAAGTTTGGTCCAGATCCAGCATTGTTTGAGTCCACAGTGCTCTCTGGATGTAGGTGAACTACAACTCCAAAACTCAAGGTCAGTGCCCACCAAACATTTCCAGTATTATCTGTTGGTCATGGGAGTTCTGTGTACTAAGATTGGTTCAATTCCATTATTGGTGGAGTTCAGAATGCTCTTTGATTGTATGTGAACTATAAATCCCAGCAATTACAACTTCCAAAGACAGATTCAATCCCCACTCAAATCCCAACAGTATTCAAATTTGGGCATCTTGGTATTTGTGCCAAATTTGGTCCAGTGAATGAAAATACATTCTGCATATCAGATATTTAAATTATGATTCATAACATTAGCAACATTACAGTTATGAAGTAGCAACAAAAATAATTTTATGGTTGGGGGTCACCACAACATGAGGAACTGTGTTAAGGGGTCACGGCATGAGGAAGGTTGAGAACCACTGATTTAGTAGCTTCTCTTAATCCAAAATGGGTATGCTCCACCGTAAGAGGAGGGGAGAATTGAACATCCTGTGGTAAACTGATGGCCAAGTGGGTCCTGCTCCAGTTTATGGAAGAACCTGAAAAGCTCGCTCTTTCAACCATTGTAACCATCTGAACAGGGGAATGCTGAGAAAACACATCTTAAAGGATGCTATCTTCATTCAGCCACATTAAATATGGGCTGAATGAAAAGGAAAGAATACAGCCAAGGCGATAAAAGCTTTCTAATCCCACTGGTTCTCGTAAAAGAGACTTAAATATGTGTGTAGCTTTCCCAGTAGAATCCATGCAAATTCTAAAGTACTATATTCTCATTTGGTTGGATTGTGCCCTTGCTATTTTTGAAGCCAGGCCTGACTGCAGTATGTACATACATATTAATTTGCTTCAGGATAAGCGATATTTGGAGTATGTTCTTTTACATTTCAGTGCCTGTTTTTAAAGAACAAAATCGCCCACGTTTTAGAATAACAATGGAATGGGTTTGATTGCTAGGTGCTCTTGAATCCTTTTCCTTAAATAGTACTGAGGATTATGAAGAAAAGCACCCAGCTGTCCTTGTCATTGCATTGCAGTTCTTGAAGAATTCTTCTACTTTGTGGGTGTGAAGGGAGAGCTATGCTGGTCGTGTTAGAAAACTTTTGCAGTGTCCTTTCATGCTAACTGAGCAAGATCAGAATTGGTGGCATTGCAACCAGTTATTTTAAAACAAATTGTTTCCAGGGAGATGCCATAGAAATGTAAACTTTGCTTTTTTGTGAGTGTCTGTCAGGAGCGACTTGAGAAACTGCAAGTCACTTCTGGTGTGAGAGAATTGGACATCTGCAAGGACATTGCCCAGGGGCCACCTGGATGTTTGATGTTTTACCACCCCTGTGGGAGGCTTCTCTCATGGGAAGCTAGAGGTGACAGAGGAAGCTCAACCCACTCTCCCTGGATTCAAACCGCTGACCTATTGGTCAGCAGTCCTGCTGGCACATGGGTTTAACCCACTGCACCACCAGGGGCAACTTTACTGAATATATGCAAGATGTTATTCATTAGGCACTAAACAACATCGTTCTTAATGCTTTTTTAAAGTCACTTATTTAGAGGACTGTTTCATTCAATTTCAAAATATTTAGTGAGCTGGTCATATTGGGTAAATAGAGCTTAACAAACCAAATAATGCCCTGATTTGGAGCATATGCTCTAAGTTGTCAAACCATAGGACAACATAGTTCACTGAGACTTGAAAAATAATATCCCCAAATGGCAGCACTACATAGGTAGATATGAAATGGGAATCTTAATATCTAAGCGATGCAAAATTAAGGAGCCCTGATGATTATACAGTTTTGAAATATTAAAGTGCAAAATATTATTTTTATTTCCTACTTCCAGTCTCCAAGTGCAGAGGAACATAGTAATCTGATCTGATATATGTTAAGATAAGTGGAGAAGATCCAAAGTGGTGCACTGGTTGGGGGTATCTCTCCAGAGAAATATTCTGATAGGTATCATCATTCAAGTACACTGTTTATCTTGTACTCTTGAAAGAATTTTGTAAGGAAATGTATGCTCTTGAAAAGCTCTTCTTTAAATGTGTTTTGGTATGATCTTTTTTTGAAAGGTGCACAACTAACATAGCATTTTAACAGCACGATCTGGTATTGCAATGGCTGGACTACTTTGTCAGAGGTCCTTTGGACGCCTTCACTGCTTGCTCAGCCAAGAATCTTTGCCAGGTAACCAACTTGAGCCGAGGTGGGAATGCTTCAATTTTCCCTTCAAACAGCATACACTCTCTTGGTAACTACTGCAAATCCATCTGTTGTTGTTCATTCGTTCAGTCGTCTCCGACTCTTTGTGACCTCATGGACCAGCCTACGCCAGAGCTCCCTGTCGGCCGTTACCACCCCCAGCTCCCTCAAGGTCAGTCCAGTCACTTCAAGGATGCCATCCATCCATCTTGCCCTTGGTCGGCCCCTCTTCCTTTTACCTTCCACTTTCCCCAGCATAATTGTCTTCTCTAGGCTTTCCTGTCTCCTCATGATGTGGCCAAAGTACTTCAACTTTGTCTCTAGTATCTTTCCCTCCAGTGAGCAGTCGGGCTTTATTTCCTGGAGGATGGGCTGGTTGGATCTTCTCGCAGTCCAAGGCACTCTCAGAACTTTCCTCCAACACCACAGCTCAAAAGCATCGATCTTCCTTCGCTCAGCCTTCCCTAAGGTCCAGCTCTCACATACGTAGGTTACTACAGGGAATACCATGGCTTTGACTAGGCGGATCTTTGTTGCCAGTCTGATGTCTCTACTCTTCACTATTTTATCGAGATTGGTCATTGCTCTCCTCCCAAGAAGTAAGCGTCTTCTGATTTCCTGGCTACAGTCTGCATCTGCAGTAATCTTTGCACCTAGAAATACAAAGTCTGTCACGGCCTCCACGGTTTCTCCCTCTATTTTCCAGTTGTCAATCATTCTTGTTGCCATAATCTTGGTTTTTTTGACGTTTAGCTGCAACCCGGCTTTTGTGCTTTCGTCTTTCACCTTGATTAGAAGGCTCCTCAGCTCCTCCTCGCTTTCGGCCATCAGAGTGGTGTCATCTGCATATCTGAGGTTGTTAATGTTTCTTCCAGCAATTTTCACCCCAGCTTTGCATTCATCCAGCCCCGCACATCGCATGATGTGTTCTGCATACAAGTTAAAAAGGTTGGGTGAGAGGATGCAGCCTTGCCGTACGCCTTTCCCAATCTTGAACCAGTCTTGTTCCGTAGTCAGTTCTTACTGTTGCTACTTGGTCCTTGTACAGATTCCTCAGGAGAGAGACAAGGTGGCTTGGGATGCCCATCCCACAAGAACTTGCCACAATTTATTATGATCCACACAGTCAAAGGCTTTAGAATAGTCAATGAAGCAGAAGTAGATGTTTTTCTGAAACTCCCTGCCTTTCTCCATTATCCAGCGGATATTGGCAATTTGGTCTCTCGTTCCTCTACCTTTTCTAAACCCAGCTTGAACATCTGGCAACTCTCGCTCCATGTATTGCTGGAGTCTTCCTTGCAGGATCTTGAGCATTACCTTACTGGCATGTGAAATAAGCAGTCTTTCGCATTTCCCTTTTTTGGTATGGGGATATAAGTTGATTTTTCCAGTCTGATGGCCATTCTTGTGTTTTCCATATTTGCTGGCATATGGCATGCATCACCTTGACAGCATCATCTTTTAAGATTTTAAACAGTTCAGCTGGGATCCCGTCTCTCCTGCTGCCTTGGTGTTAGCAATGCTTCTTAAGGCCCATTCAACCTCACTCCTCAGGATGTCTGGTTCTAATTCATTCACCACACCGTCAAAACTATCCTCAACATTATTATCCTTCCTATACAGATCTTCTGTATAGTCTCGCCACCTTCTCTTGATCTCTTCAGCTTCTGTTAGGTCCCTGCCATCTTTGTTTCTTATCATACCAATTTTTGCCTGAAATTTACCTCCAATGTTTCTAATTTTCTGGAAGAGGTCTCTTGTCCTTCCTATTCTGTTGTCTTCCTCCACTTCCATGCATTGCTTATTTAAAAATAGTTCCTTATCTCTTCTGGCTAACCTCTGGAATTGCGCATTTAACTGGGAATATCTCCCCTTTTCACTGTTTCCTTTTGCTTTCCTCCTTTCTTGGGCTACTTCCAGTGTCTCAGCAGACAACCATTTTGCCTTCTTGGTTTTCTTTTTCTTTGGACGTACTTTGTTGCCGCCTCCTGAACAATGTCGCGGACTTCTGTCCATAGTTCTTCTGGGACTCTGTTTACTAAATCTAGTCCTTCAAATCTGTTCTTCACTTCCACTGTATATTCGCTAGGAATGTTAGTGAGATCATATCTAACTGGTCTGTGTATTTTCCCTGATCTCTTTAGTTTTATTCTAAATTGGCAATAAGAAGTTCGTGATCTGAGCTACAGTCAGCCCCAGGTCTTGTTTTCACCGACTGGATGGATGTCCGCCACCTTTGGCTGCAAAGGATGTAGTCAATCTGATTTTCGGTGTTGACCATCTGGTGGGGTCCATGTATAAAGCCGTCTTTTAGGTTGTTGGAAGAGAGTATTCGTTATACACAGCGAGTTTTCCTGGCAAAATTCT